GCGCCCCGGATGTCAACTTTTCGTCATCTCACTTTGGTGGGAAAACAACGCCACGAGAAGGCAGTTGGTAGGGCTTCCTCAGCAAAGGCTATTTGAGACGCTTGGTCGTATGTGAGCATTTCACGAGGTGCAAGAGAACGGTGACCAGCCGCAATCCTAGACATCCACCCCCGATCATACTGAGGATTCCGGAGCTGCGGACAAAACTCAGGAGCAATTTCCCAAATACGTAATTTCAGTTTCTTATTGTTTTTGTTGGAACACCGTGTCTTTCATGGTGCACCATAATGCAGTTTAGGAGGAACGAATTTAATACCGTAGACTGAAGTTCTAGTATGCAGTGAAGCAAACCAGCAGCTAATGACGCGAATGGATTGTTACACCTGGGGACTATAGCAGAGCTGCTTGCCGTCATTATTTAGACGAATTTATGAATTTTCGTTGCTTGAGCGGCCCGATCTGTTTGGAGTGTATCTTAAAAAGGTCCAGTTAGGCGATTGCTCTTATTTGTAGCGCACCAATCGCTTTGCTCGCTTTTATTCGTGATGAAATCATCCATCTACACACTAATCATTTTAGTGAGTATATTATGGCCTGACTCAGTTCGAATTCAGGCATAAAACATCTCAAATTTGTTTGTTTTTAAGTATTGATCTTTCCTGTGATGCGTCGTTTTACTTCCACCTCACATTCCATCTCTCCCTTGTATTTTGCCGTTCTAGTCGGTTTCACCGTCTCTTCACGAATATGGTTTGAATTGTGGTTTTCTGTACGCACAATTGGCCACCTATCACTATGCCATGTGTTCTTACGAGGAAGCATTTCAGTTCAGTTTGCTCGCAATCGAACAAATGCGTGCCTGCCCGGACAGTGAATCTCGTGTATCCGGTCATGTGGTGATTGATGTGTTACGAATTCTGTGCAAAATGTGCATGATCAAACGTGATTACACACTGGCGCTTAGCTGTATCGAATGTGGCCTTCGTTTCACGTGGTACGTGTGTGAACTGAACGGTAGCGTGTTCGTCATGTGTCCTTTGTTGTTGTTGTTAAAGCCTGTGCGTTTCTCGTTGGTGTCCTTATTACCTGTACTTTGTGACGTGTCATTTGAACACTATAGTGATTGTTGTTTCACTTGCGATTTTTGAGCAGTCATTCACTCCGACCCCCGTGGCCAGACCTGACGCCGTAACGCAGTTGCAGTTAATCACATTTGTACCTCCCTAGATTTTCAGTGACAGGGAAACAACACCGAGAGGATTTTCGCATGTTACTCGAACACTTTGGTCAATCGCGTTTCATCTAAAATGTCATCCATATTATATCGATTGTGTAAAATATGTCTGTGACATGAATCTCGGTGACTGATCAGTTTCATGGCCTTGCAGGGAACGGGGTCACTGATTTCCACCAATAAGTGCAAATTGATAATCGGCCGTTTTTTTACCAAAAGGAAGTAATCGAAGAACTACCATTATTTGCACATGTGTGATGGTGTTGTTCACCTCAGTGAACTTTGCTCTACACTGATGAGTGCATTCTGCCAGGTGGTGGTGGTGGTGGCAGTAGCAATAGCCAAACGGTTTGTCGCGTCTTGTAAAAGAAGATAAATGTTACCGTGATTCACTGTGTCAATTTCAATTAGTGAAGAGTTTGTTCATTTGTTCCAGTGTCTGATCACGTGCCATACCCTCTCCCCGTGCAACCGATCTGTCAGTCCGGAGTAACTTATGGTGGTGGGGGAGTCGTTTTGTCCCAGTTTAGACATCGTTGGCAGAAGAGCAGGATTGCTGTCTTTT